TTTTTTTTATTAACAATTAAAAGCGTTTAAAAGATACAATTTACTGATCCAGGCATTTCTTTCAAAGAAATTACAGCTGAATTTTGAATGAATTTAGACATTACACCTGGGACTCATTGACTGTATTAATTTCAGTTGATGAAATCTCAAAAAGCAATAGAGACAGCGCTTCGTATCGCACCGGGTAGAAAGTCGTATTTCCTGCACATCCTTATCGAGTGTGCAAAAACCGGGTTCAAAGCGTCCACTTGCCAGCAGGAAATTCTTGTTTCAGCCTCGGTGGTGGTAAACACATTTGAAAAGATCAACATTGAATCGCGTCATGTATCGCTGATAACACAGGTGGATTTATCTTATCTGAGCCAGAGAAGTTTTCGTGTCGGCCTACAGGTGTGATAAAGCAGTAACGTGAGTGAACTTCGTCGAGTATGTTGCACTCGTTGGACACTTTGGCTGGAAAACTGTCTCCAGGCGGGTCCTGTGCCCAAGCGAGTCCCCAAACCAGTTTGCTGGATTCGAACGCCAATCGCGTCCATCCCTATTTGAAACAAACCGCCGCTGGAAGTAGCTCGACAAGGTAGGCTTATTATGGACCTGTTTAAAGCGTCCGATCCCCGATCTGAGCTATTCTGGCTAAATCGGTGCTGACATTTTTTGGTCGATGAATCAGCATTTAGGTGCTGCGCAGCCCAATTAGGCAGACGGCATTATTATTCCAAAGGGAAAATTATTATCGTTAATGCAAACTCAGCGCTGCCTCCACTAAATAACATCGTTACGCAAGTTTACATTTTGGTAAGATAATAACTAAATTCAAGTGGAATCAGTACGGCAAAGCATTTGAATTATGGGCCATCCTCGTTACTAAGTTTGAACACTGCACAGAATAGTTAAGGATTAGAATGGATTGTCTCGCGTTGAGAGAAAAGGACTTGGCAATTTCCAGTAACCAGCCAAGTTTTATGTATGTGCCCTCAATACGAGATTCGCTTAATTTTTGTTCGACTTTTTTTAGATAATCGGCCATTGACTTATAAAGTTTGCCTAAGATAAAAATTAAACGAAAAATTCGTCCAAAAGTCCCCACTTTTGCCAGCTATTACTGTCAAGGTCCAACTTTCGTTTGCCTGAAGCCTATTGTTGATAAACAAATTTGGTTTATTTTGCATGTTTATACAAACACATTCAGGTTTAAAATAGGTTGAAATGAAACTTGGTGGGCCTATTTTCACTTTGTATAGTAGTCCGGAATTCCTGACTGTATCCAATGCCTGTCGCAAATCTCATAATACATCAGTTGGTTTTTCTGCTCCAAACTGATGGTTTTCATCCGATAGTTTTTTGCTTTGTATCGTACACTTGATTGTGTTCAAGACATTAATAGATGGACGAAGGTAGTCATTCATAAATCCCGACTTGTTTGGGAGCATGATAGATTTTTATCGATCGGCGATTTATCAATGAAATGGATAAAGGTACTTACAAAGTAGGGCAGATCGATTTATTTACAAACATTAGAGTTAATCCGAGAACACACTCGCCTGTTTGCTAACCAAATTTTTGAGCATTTAGGTCATCATCATGACTTCGCATGTAAGAAGGTATATTTGACAGAATTTACGCCGCTGGCTACTATTTATTTAATGTATAAGAGGGACAATTTTTCAGTTGTGTTATCAGGTATTATCTGAAAAAATCACCAAAGGTTGGTGTATTTACGAGTCCATCGAGTCCATTTTCCTTTACTATAATGTTACCATAAAATATTCTTCTGAATCTCTTCTTTCGGTGCTATCGATTAAACTCGCTTACACCGTGCAAGACAATATTAAAAGCTGATTTTCTCTAAAATCGCGCATTTTAGAGAAGTCTGACAAGTAACCTTTTTTTACGTAGTTTTGATCACTATTTTATTTTTTGAAACCACATACTTACAACAAAAAGCGGAAATCAAATCAAGGTGATTTGAAGGATTGTAGGAAATAATTAGGATTGAGGAAAAAATGTAAATTTATAAACAATAATTCCAACGATCATGTTCCAAATTTTAAAACCATCGGACACCCATATTCAAAATCTAACTTTAGCACTCGATAGATCCGTGATTATTGAATTTTCGAAAAAGTCTTACGGAAACTTGTCACACTCAGTTTTGCTGTAGATTCGCCTCGTTAAGTGTTGGTCCTATGATTTTCGGACATTCAGTATTTCCGATTGATTATCAGGCGGGCAAAACAGACCTCAATTCATAGAAAAATGCAAACAAATTCATGTAATTCGTCTGTTTAACCTGAGATTGTATCAAACGCTTGAAGTATGTCGGATAATACAACAGGTTGTTTTGCTGGTTTTCCTTACTGCATACCGAAACTTCAAAATGTATATTGATGTTTTGAAATTCTTGTTCATTCAAGTTTATGTCTATTTTGCCACTTGCTTCTAGCGATTTTGACGTGGTTTTGCATTCAAGAACACAACGAGAATTAGTATTAGGGTTTTCAACAATGTTTTTAAATACAGGAAAATAATATTGAGTGCAAATATTTCATAATTTTTTCAATGCAGGCAAATTTGTGGAATTTTAAAAAAGTTCCGGAAAGAGTGCGTTCCTCATCCGTTTTCTGAATCTTCCTACCGATTAAAATGAGTCTGAATATTTTCTCAATATAAATTTCACTTTTGATGCGATGATCCACTGGTGCAGCTCATCGATCTTCTTAATTCGTTGTTTATATTTTTTCTTCTTCCAACTTTGTCAGGTTCGTGTCTTTCCTACATCCGCTTCATATTYACAAACTCCAAAATTTGCTACTTGACAGGTTGTTTCGAAGAATTTTTTTTGTCGATTTATTCTTCAGGCAAAGACCGAATATCCRAAAATCATAAARRAATTGCTCYTCACCCACSAATCTYGWTTTCCAAGATCCAATATTAGTATCTACAGTTTATAGCAAAATGCAGAAGCGGAACAAAATTATCAAATTAATTGCCAAAATTATKCCAAATTTAATAAATTGGCTGGTGATAGTGATACTCTTYTGTAATTTCGTTGGTTGAAGAAGAATTTAGTACTTCACTTGWCATCGATCTATTTTGGGCCTRTTCGGTTTTCCTYGCCTGAAAATTACGAATTTTGACCGCGCTTTTATTGATTTGGATAAARAGCGAGCGTATTTTATRTCTGTYTAAATAASCAAACCCATGAGGTTGACACCTRAACATTTTGGTTTTSAGCGGAAATTTAATGGATATTTCARCCAGTTRACCACTAATASGTTCGTTTCTTCTTCATTGATAAATGTGGAAGTTTTAYGTCTTATCGGCCCGTCTGCTATATTCAGCAAATTCTCCTTTTTCTTCRAATAAAATTTAGTTAGTTTTCAAGGTATTTAACTGATTTTTTGGTTGAGTTTCTTATAGGATCCATTTAAATCTGAGCAACAACTTTTTAAAACAGACACGGAGGATTCAAAGCAACTGAACTGGGGCGAAACTTGCCAAAATGTTCAGTGTTGTTTGTGTGTAATTAATGCTGATCCAGTGTGAAATAAACAAGTCAAAATATTGCCTTATAAACGGCACATTGTGGTTGCTTAGAGTGTTAAACTGCCTAAATTATAGAGTTGCTGAGCGTAAGCTGAGGCAGCAACCGATTCTCTAAAATTTACAGCGCCGTTAAGCTGTCGTAAATTCCCTGAGCATTTTAAAAATAATTCTTGTGCAGCTTATTATCCGGTTATTTTACATTAGGGAGCAGGCAGGTAAAACTGGCTGCGTAAAAATAACCCGATGTGACGTGGCGAGGAAGAGGAGGAGGAGGAGGACGGGCATCCCACCACAAAACAATTTTGTTTAAAATCACGTCCATTTTTAGTGTCCATGTTCGCGATTTAAGCCTGACATCCGGAACAAATCTCTTTAATCCCCTGTCAGAGTTCCCCATCATATATCAGCGGTCTTTCGTTTCCAAATGCACATGGAAACGATAAGTCACGTTCCCATGTTTGCTCTGGTCGTTAGCCACGCATCAGATGGGAGCAGTCGAACAGAGTCTATGGTTTCTTCCAAATGGAAAATCCATAAAATAAAATAAATATACACAGCACGTTCGCAAAGATGCGATTCTTTCGATATTATGGGTTGAGCGGCGTGACCTGCTGGCCGAGTCGTTTCGGGCTCATCCAGATTTCAATTAAATCCATGAAAACTGGTGCATTCAGGATCCTGATGCAGTCGCAATAAGGCAAGAACTTCTGAATGGTGTTTCTGGAAGTTCCAAATTCGCAGATTATACATAGTTGAGACCGAAAGAGGATCGTGAGTTTATGAGTGGAAAATATGGGTTGCGGGAATTAAGTGGAAATTATTATAGAAGTTCTGTGGATGAGAGCCGGATCGCTAAGCCGAACAATGGCTGGAGTTTTGTGGCCGCGAGTGTAAATGATCAAAGGCTGACTTTTAAAAGGTCTTTCGCAAACTTTGCTCACACGTTTGCCGAGTCGAATGCCGCACCTTTCAACTAAATTGAATAAATCACTGCTAGGGCCAGTGAATAAAAGTCAGTGACTTAAATGAGCCATTATTCACTTTTGCATAAAAATCGGGCGTGCTTTGCACCTCAATTTCCAAATCGTCCCCCCAAAAAAGAGTGTCGGCCATGTCCGAAATTAATTCTCCCCCTTTTCGAAATTAACGGCACCGAAGTCCTCTCGACGCGTTTGAAAATTCATTACACGCACAATCTGATAGCTGGCCTAAAGCCGAGTCTTTTTGCAACAGGATGCCCCATCAACGATTTGTCTTTGCGTGCCAGCCTGTATATTTAGATCCAGACATTCGGATCGTTCAAGTTGTTTTGGAATCGTTAACCATCGAAAATAAAATATCGGCAGCCATCTATCCAGATATATCCGTGCCAATCTGGCATTCTAATTGCGTTGATGGCGATCTCACAAAGCATTCTCGTACTCTGCTGGTTCACAATCATTGCTGGCTTCAAAAACATACGATTTTCGCTTCAAATCCTATTGAAGTTTCTAGGTCTTTTTGACTAGTCCAAGGAGTTTTTAAAGAAGTTGTCCATTTGAAAGTACTTTCAATGCAAAGCATGTCTTAATTTCAAAGTCGCATCAAAAGTGAGTCTTTGGTCAAAGAGAAAAGTTCTTAGCTGAACTTGTTGGTTTGCGCGAGTTTATTGGGAAAAGTTGATATTCAATTGGAAAGTATTATCGTGTATTTTGCAATGGGTAAAATCGAGTGAACAGGAGCAAATTCGAAGTCCAAACGTCCGCACGACTCCGAGTGTGTTTTATTTTATTTAATTATAACGCCGCAAAATTAGTTGGAAGCTGGATTTTTCGACATCGAATAGTTTAAAGCTGCAAAATGCAACTTTATATATTTGAAGTTTTCCTTCCTTTCCTATTCTCTGTTTAAAAATTTTCGATCAAAAATCTAAATTTTCCAAGCGTGTTCCCATGACTTCCCAATGCTCGCACATTTTTGGGTTAATAATGTGGAAGATATCGTGGGTCAAAAAGCGGTCAAAGTCTGCTTAAAATGTTGATTATTTCGGAT